CCCTGGAAGTGTCCAAGGGCAGGTTGGAGCAACCTGGGATATCAAAGGATGTTCCTGTTGGACCAGATGACCTTTAGAGGTCCCTTCCCAGCCAAGCCATTCCATGATTCCATGATTCCAGCTGTGCAGAGGGTTGCAGGATGTGCCCCGACGTGGGAAGGCAGTGGGAGCTCCCGGAGCTTATCCGTGTCCTTCTCTCCGGAGCTGTTTTGAATTCCAGGCAGTGAGAATCCTTGGAGCTTTCTCCTCCTCCTCCTGCGTGGGAAGCGGGGCCTGATGGGCTGCGAGTCCTGCAAAGCAGATCCCAAAATCCTGCTGGCCAGGATTCCCTCCTGCCTGGAATTTTCGCTCCACGCCGTGCCGGCACCCGGCAGCCAGGGACCATCCCTGCCCAGATCCCGGGATTTTAAACCTCCCAGGCTCAAACCTGCAGCACTCAGAGCCTGGTCTAGACTTGCAGTGGGAATAAAGCAGCATCCCAGTGCCCCCACTCCTATAAAAACCTCCCCTGGGAATGCTGGCAGTGGGATCCAACCCCACAAAGGAGCCCTTTCTCCTGGCTCCCCTTTCCCTCCTTGCTCCCAGAAAACCCTTCTGGTTGCCAAGGGGACGTTTTTGGGGAATACAATGTGCCTTGGAGAAGATCCCAGCTCCGTCCTGGCTGATTAGGGAAGGGCTGGATGGGATTCCCTCCCTGGCCCGGGCTCGGTGTCACTTTGGATTTACACCATCATTTCTTTTGGGATGGGGTTTTTTTTTCCTTTATCCTTCTTTTCTTTTGGCATTTATTAAACACGGGAAAATCGAATTATGGGGTTGGTTCTTTTCTCAACTCAATTTGCTGCCCAGGCTGTGGCAGCTGAAGCAGTTCCTGGCTCCACGTCTTTGCCCTGGAAAAGGGAGTGGAGCCATGGAAAATGCAGCAGGGAAAGGGGAGCCTCGGGCACGGGGAAGATGCTGTGGAATCCTGTGGGAATGAGGGAAAAGGGGATAAAAAAGAGCTTTCCATTCTCATCCTGCTAATTGATGGCATTGAAGAATTCCAGGATCAGGCATGTTATCAAGGGAGACAGGATTTATTTATGGAGAGAGGAGAGGGGTGGGGGCTGTGCTGTGTTTTCCCCTGTGGAGTCTGGAATTCCGGGCAGAGGAAGGAGGGAGGACACAGGGGGTCATGGCTGGCTGTGTCATCTCACAGGGCATCCCAAATCCTGGAGCAATCCTTTGGGAAATCCACAGCCCGCGTGAGCAGCAGCTCCTGGAGCTGAAATAACCCCGGGAAGAGCAACTGGGAGTTACAGGGATATGGAATTGAAAGCTGGAAAGGGACTTTGGACAAGGTGTGGAGGGACAGGACACAGGGAATGGCTTCCCAGTGCCAGAGGGCAGGGAGAGATGGGATATGGGGAAGGAAGGGGAGGGGCTGGAATGGATTTTCCAGAGAAACTGTGGCTGCCCCTGGATCCCTGGAAGTGTCCAAGACCAGGATGGAGCAACCTGGGATAGTGGAAGGTGCCCCTGGGGTTGGAACTGGATGGGATTTGAGGTCCCTTCCCACCCAAACCATCCTGGCATTCCATGAAGGTGCCTGGTGGCACCTCTCTGGCCCATTCCCGTGGGATAACAGCAGCATTCCTGCTGTGCCAGGGGAATTCCTGCCTCGTGGATCCCACCTGCACTTCCACAGGCGCCTAACCCCGACTTTCCATCCGCTCCAAGCTCCAGAGGATCTTGGAGCAGCTCCTGGTATCCTCAGATTTGACCATGACAGGGCAGATCCGTGCCCTCCCAGGTGAGGGATCATCAGAGCTGATCCCGAATTCCCTGTTTCCCTGCAGGAGGGACACGGACACACCATCCTGACGCTGCTGTCCCTCGGCGCCGATCTCCAGGCTCAGGACGGGAAGAGCCGTTCCGGTAAGGAAGGAGCTGCTCCTTCCCCCTCTGCCTGACCCCCAGAGCTTCCATAAGGGCATCCCAACCTCCAGGTCACCCTGGAGCACGCAGGGAGATCCCAAATCCATGGATACCAAAGGCTCTGGGAGCAGCGTGACGTGAAAACAGGGGTTTTGGTTTGTTTTTTTTTCCCGGTTTTCATTCACTTGCTGGAATTTCTGGTGCTTCTGGCTCGGGGGCTTTTCCCTTGGGGAAGAGCAGAGATGTTCCCTGGGGGAAGAACAGAGATGCAAACCAGGGCTTTCTCTTTATCCACCTCCTTAATTTTTTCCACGAGACTTTTCCGGCGCTTCGATTCTCCGCCTCGCCGGAATTCGGCTGGAACGAGCCCGCCTGGAGCGGGTTGGGTGGATGAATCCAGGGATTTCCACGAGCTCCCCAGCCTCGATTTCCCAGCAAAGAGCCCAGAAATGGGCTCATGAGCAAATAATAACACAGGGCTGGGATGTAAATAGAGTTGCCATAGCGATGCCGGAGTCGGCATTCCCGGCGGGAGAGGCTCCGGCAGCTCCTGCAGCAGCATCTCTGTCTCGGGAACAAAACCCACAGAAATGGTTCCAGCCAAAATTGGCAGCTTTTAACCAGTCCTCAGGTTTGGTTAAAAACACCTGGGGGCATCTCTCCATCCGTCCCCTCCGGGAGGGAATCCCGGCTCTGC